AACATGGCTAGAGTTCCTTATTCTTCAACAGTCGGAAGCTTGATGTATGCAATGGTATGCACCAGACCTGATATTGCTCATGCAGTTGGTGTTGTTAGCAGATTCCTTGAAAATCCTGGAAAGGAACATTGGAAAACAGTCAAGTGGATACTTATGTACCTAAGAGGTACAATAGGAGATTGTTGTGTTTTGGAGGATCTGATCCAATCTTGAAGGGCTACACGGATGCTGATATGGCAGGTGATCTTGATAATCGTAAATCTACGACAAGATACTTGTTCACATTTTTTCAGGGGGAGCTATATCATGGCAGTCGAAGTTGCAGAAGTGTATTGTAGTCTCTACAACTGAAGCAGAGTATATTGCCATTACAGAAGACGGAAAAGAGATGGTTTGGCTAAAACGGTTCCTTCAAGAGCTTGGATTGCATCAGAAGGAGTATGTCGTCTATTGTGACAGTCAAAGTGCAATAGACTTGAGCAAAAATACCATGTATCATGCAAGGAGGAAGCGTATCGATGTGAGATATCACTGGATTCGAGAAAGGATAGAGGATGGATCTATGCAGGTCAAGAAGATCCATACAAGTGAGAATCCTTCGGATATGCTGATCAAGCTAGTACCAAGAGATAAGTTGGAGCTATGCAAAGAACTTGTCGACATGCACTCAAACTAGAATATCCGATATTACCTCCTTCAGGTTAATAGGACTGGATGGAAAGATTTGTGGGGTCCAGCCCCATATGTGAAAGAAGAAAAGCTTCTTCTTTCTTCTTTTTGTCAAGCTAGCCAATTTAGAAAAAATTTGGGCGGCTAACTGTTGCAGTAAGGTTGATGTCACTGCATACTTCAACATGAGCATTCTACAACTATAAATATGTGCATCTACTTTCATTTGTAATCACACCAATAAAGAGAGAAAGAAAGAGTGAGGTTTAACAGACAGGGTATAAGAAAATAGTCTGTCAGAAAAAATAGAGAGTGGACGATATTATAGTGAGGTGGGAATATCAAAAGAGTGTTATTTCGTTTGAGTGTTGTAGTGATCTTTGGAGTATTTTACTTGGACCTACAAGGTGTAAAATTTCTTGCTATAGTAATATCAGTTGCTCCTCTCAAGGCCGTGGTTTTTTCCTTATTTAAAAGAATTTTCCACGTAAAACTCTTGGTGTTGGTGTCACTCTTTTATTCTTGTTAATTACCGTATCTCGCTGCTACGTTATTATTCCGCTTTTAGTACCGTGAATATTATTTCTGTGGGGGTTTATTCCCAATATTAATACCATAAAATACAACACTAAAATCAACCACCGTCTATTTTTTCCGGCAAACAAATCGTGAAGACCTAACAGCTCTAACCATGGGGTAAAAATTGCTGAAAATGAGATTGAAATTTTATGGGTGTCAATGATATTGTTATAGTGTGGTTGCTGCTAATGATTATTTTTCAAGACTGAAGGAGAGTAGGCGGATTAATGGGGAAGGTCATGAGTGAAAATTACCGGAAATGAGATTGAATTTTTGTGGTGGTCAATGATATTGTTATAGTATGGTGGTTGTTATTAATTTTTTTTTCAAGATTGAAGGAGAGGAGGTGTATAAATGGTGAAAGGTGGAGGAGCTACTGATGTTGCTATATTTAGATTAGGAAAGTTTTTGGTGGTGGAGATGAATTATTTTGGAAAGAAAGTGAAATTAATATGGGAAAATTAAAAATATAGTGGGACCCAAATAAAAATTATGGTGTGTCCAAATAAAATAAGGTTAAAATTTAAAAGAAAAAAGAAAAAAAAAACTTTATTTTGAGGGTTTCACGCGCTCAGATATGAATACAAAATACACACTTTGTCATGTCAGCGTGAGGGATTTACGAGGTCGCAATTCAGTCAAGAAGAAGTGTCTAATTGATAATCGGGTTAGTTGGGATATTTGTCTGATCGTTGAGGACAACTTAAAATGACCATTTATGTATTTCGCCAAACTTTAATAAATGTTAGATTTTAACCCCTAGTTTTAATAGTATAACGAGTTCAACACAAGTTTGAACCCATTAAATTTTAATTTGAATCCGCCTATGAGCAAGATTGTGTTTAAATGTCAGCCATGTTTTTTTTTTTTTTTTTTT